ACTCTGAACTTGTCAGGCAGGCACTTATTCTATTGAGCTATCTCCCTGGCCTATGCTGATTTCTTAATTCACACACTCATGGTCTAAAATGCTCTAGTCAAGTTTGTACTACTACATTCAGTGGTCATTTCTCAATCTTCATCAGACTTGCTCTGTCAGCAGCATCTGAGTCTGGTGATTGCTTCCTCCTCAAAATACTTTCTTCTTTTGGCTTTTACTCTATATTGCATTCACACTATTTTTAACAGTGAAATGCTTTGGCATTCAAACTTCTAACACTTTGCTTTCTAATTATACTCCCTCTCTCCACAATCTCATCTTCGCAACTTTAAATTTATCTGTTCACAACTGCCTATTTCACATCTTCAGGCCACTATTCCTGGACTCCAGAGACAAACCCACTGGGCGTCCTGGGTGTCAAATAGGCACCTCAAAATTAACCTGTCCAAACAACCTCTTGAGTCCACCTCACCTTCAAAACCTGCTATTTTACAATCTTCTTTATTTCAATCATGGCAATTCTCCTTTACCAGTCACAACACTCAGCCACAATCCTTATGAGCAATCCTCATTTTTCTCATACACACTCCATCTCCAGCATAAGCATGACTATTCAATGTTCAAAATATATCCAGAATTTGATTAATTCTTATCTCTTACTACCAACTGCTACCATTCTAAGTATATTTGTCTCTCTCCTGGACCACTATGATGGCCTTAATCTTAAAATGGTCTCTCTGGTTCTACTTTCTTTTTTCTTTCTTTCAGAGCCAGGGATTGAACTGGGGCAAGTGCCTATTCTACTGAGCCATCTTCCCGGCTCTAAATGTTTTTTTTTGGTTTTGTTTTTTGGGACTGGGAACTGAACTCAGGACCTTGTGCTTGCTAGGCAAGCACTTATTCTGCTGAGCTATCTCCCCAGGCCTCTGGTTCCATTTTCCACTTCTAATCCATGAAACCTCTACTGACTCAATAAAAGCAGAACTCAGTCAACTTATACCATACTATCATTTTCTTTAATGGTTTTCACATTATTCAGAGAAAAACCAAAGTTACTTCAAAGATCAGTAATAGTCTCTGTTATTCATTTATACACACAGGTTTCATACAGTGGTCTCAAAGGCATAAAATGGCTATCTCTAGCTAGGTGTAGTGGCACATACCTATAACACCAGCTCGGGGCTGGGGCAGGAGGGTCACTGAGTTTGAGGCCAACCTAGGCTACTAAGTGAGTTCAAGGTCAACCTGAACTGGGAAGGAAATCTTATTTCAAAAAGACCAAAACAAAACAATGTAACATTCATATTATATTAGCAGTAGTCCTCATTTATGAGTCAAGAGGTACCACAGGAAAATGTAATAGGGCTGAAGCCAGGCCTTTGCACATGCTAAACACATGCTCTATCATGAGCCATGTCCCCCACCTGGCTTTTCCTCATTAATAAAATAAATTGTTGCTTTACCTTAAAATCATTGTAAAGGCAAAAAACAAATAAGATACACATATTTAAATAACATATCATGATCCTAGAATATGCCAAGTAAGCACAGATTAAGTACTGTATCTGAAAATATCTATTAAAAATACTTTAACCATTTAAAAGCCAGTACTCACAGAAATTTCAGGGTTTGAAAGCTCATATAAAAGTTTCTTGGCATCAATAACTGCTTCATATAACCTCAGATACTGTCCATCACTAGCTACAAAGCACGCACTTGGAGAGTTGCAGTATGCACCTATAATGTAGTTATAAACATTTAAAATATAATCCTTCAGTAATAATGTCAGAAATTAAAATTACTAACGTAAAAATCAGAATTCTTACCTAGACAGTAACTGGGTATAAGAGTAGGGAGCCACGCCACATTAGAAAATGCAGAAACATGAAGAGAATTAATCCGGGCAAGCTCAGACACTCCTCCAGAAAAAGACAAGGGCCCAACTGGGTCAACCCTCCAAAGAATAAGCTCACTATAAACGGCATTGGGATCCTGAAACACCATATTAATGGTGCTTTTATTTTGTTGTGTCACAGAACATTCTTCAATATTTATGGTATCATGAGGTTGCTTTTGATTATCGACATCTGGTGTCCTTAATGTGTTATGGTGTGACGTTGTCAGTAATAATGGTAATACTGAGTGGCAAGCTAAATCGTTAAGATGAAAACGATGACCACAATATCTAGATTTGTGAGAAATACTAAGAACTGTAGAAAAAGCAGATTCCTCAGCAAAACTGACCAGCCATTGATTCAGAGAACCATCCGCATGCTTTGAAATCATCATAACATTAGGAGTAAAAATACTTAATTTTAAACTATTAGATGATTTACTGTGACCAGACGAGATAAGCATTGATGTAGAACGAGTGAGGCCAGAAGGTTTTTGTTTCCCTTGCTGGATAGCCAAGTCAACATTCTTGGTACAGGCGTACATTACAATGCTTTTACAGAGAGAGTTTGCATCACCTGTAGGGAAGGCTACAGGAATTCTGGAAACAAAAGACACCTAAAATTAAGAGAGCAAGTATTAGAACATATGAAATGATACAAAGAGATACTACAAAAGAGAACTCAGACAGGAAATAACTGGAGATCATAACAATAGTACCTGTACTTGACGAAACATACCAGGCTGGTACTCATCCAGCCAATCTACATGCCACACTAGTAAAGACCCATCCATGGGATGAATACTGAAAAGCATATCTGCATTTTTACTCCATTCAGACAGAAGCACTTCAATCTGATGATCAATGGCAGCTGATGGTAATGGTGCAAAGCTTGAGTTTGGTACCATTTTGTCTCTACCCAATTCCTTCTTTTCATGATTTACTTTCAGATCATCAACACCATCATCGATTTCTATAAAGAAAAGAATTCATAAGACAAGTAAATACAATCCAGCTATTACGACAAACTAACATATAGCTTTATAAATGCACTCAACACGAAAAATGTAGGCTCATTATGGTGGTGCATGCTTCTAATCCCAGCAACCAGAAGGCTGAGAAAAGAGGATCACTGTGATTTGCAGGCCAGCTTAGGATGCTTAATAAAGACACTGTCTCAAAAAACAAACAAATAACAACAACAACAAAAAAAGAGTAGTTTTCTTATTAGTGAGAAATGGGCTGCATTCTAAAACCAACTTTATTCCAGGAATATAAGATTACTGGAGTTTAGTTCAGTATCAGCAAGTCTGTAAGACTAATCAATGTATTATTAGTAGAAAGATATTAATGTAGAATGAGTAAGTCCAGAATGTCTCTAATATTAAATTGCAAGATAGGTAAACTGGCTTCCAAACCAGTTAACTAAGAGCTATACAGCAAACTCAGGGCCCACCTGACATACACAGTAAGACCTCATCTCAAGAAATGCAATAGTAAACACACACACACACACACACATTTGTATACCAATCTACCAATCCCAGTAAAAGTGTATTATGATACCTTTAAAAAAACAAAACAAAACAATTCTTATACTTGTCAATTCTTGTTCAGGAATATAGAGTCTTCTTAAAAGAGACATTTAAAAAATCTTTTGATTGCTTATCAAATTAAAAAGCCAAGTCAAGGCCAGCCAAATGGCTCAGCAGACTAAAGCGCCTCCTTAGGCAGAGCGCAGTGGCTGGGGTTTGATCTCAGGCCTACCGTGCTGGCCCCGCCTCTGGGGTGCACTGAGACTGACTGAGACTGGTTGTAGTGGCGCGCCTGTAATCCCAGTGCTTGGGAGGCTGAAAACAGGAGTATCACTACAAGTCTGGTCTACGTAGTGAGATCCTGTACTAAATACAGAAAAATAAAGAAAAAATAAATAAATAAAAAGCCAAGTCAAGACATACAAATCTGTATCAAAAACAACAGAAAAATAAGTCAAAATGTATGAAACATTCATTCCTTTTGTTCAATGTGTGCCAAGAAAATACAAAGTAAAACATGCCATTTTCCCTTTTCAATTGGAAAGAAAGTTATACAAGGAAAAGATTCAGTGTTGAAAGGATATACAAAAGGAATATTTAGATACACTCTCAGAAAAAAAAACCTTCCTGGTGGGCAATTTGCCAGATGTTATTGATATTTAAAACCTATATACTCACTGGTAATTTCATGTGTAAGAATCTATGCTATGGAAAACATCACACAACAATGAAAAAATGTATCATTGTACCACTATCTGTATAATGAAAAAGCTATTTTAAATAATCTTAAATGTCCATCAGTGCTGGCAAGATAGCTCAGCAGGCTAAGTACCTGCTTAGGCAAGTGCAGGAACCAGGGTTCAGTCCCCAACACCACATGCCACACAGGCCTCAACTGCAGGCATGCTGAGCTGGACACCAAGACTGGGCATGGTGGTGCACACCTGCAATCCCAGCAGTGGGTAGGCTGAAAACAGGAGGATCACTGTGAGTATGAGCTGTGAAGTGAGACTGTGTATCAAATATATTAAAATAAGCATCACCACCACCATCATCATCATCATCTTAAATGTCCATCAATAGAAGAATAGTTGAAGGTTTCTCTTGGATATGAAATATTACAGATATTAAGATGGAAAATTCTCCACTGTTGGACTTAAACAAGTTGCAGGACATTATTTTTATATAAAAATAAATACCTATATTACAACTTTTAAACTTTTTTTCTGTGCACATGTTCCCATATGTGCATAAAAAAGGAATATGGAAGAGCACTCACCAAACATAACCATGTAGAATTTTTAGCCCCGTCTGTGTAGCTCTTAATGATAACATGAACTTTTTTTTAAAAACATAAACTCTTGTAATTAAAACCAGACTTTTAAAAACAAACTCATTTTTTGAGCCATTCACTTTAACAGGAATGATAAACCACATGTCACAGCTTAATATTTCCAAGTCTTTACCATATAGTCGCTACCTAGACAAGGATAGTGTAGAGCTCTTATGATTGGTGTCTAGCTGTTCCCCCAAAGATTCATGTAGTCATGGGACAGGGACTTCTGGAGTTTGTGATTAACTCATGATCCACTGGGTTATGAGGGATCCAAGGCTGGGATTATGGGTCTTTGTACTACTGGGTTTATGGGTGCTTGTACTCCCTCAGCCTGGGGCAAAGAGCCTGAATGCAATTTAAGAGAGACAGATTCTCTCTCCCTGTTGCCTTTGTTGTCTGTTTCAATTGCTGTTGTTCTGCAACCATGAACAGGATGTTCTCTGTCCTGTGCCACTCTGCCTTGGAGCCAGCCAAGTATGGACTGAACCCTCCAGTAACTGAGCTGAATAAACCTTTCCTTCCTTCATTTTGGATGCTGGGTATTTGTCCCAGCAATGAGAGAAGAGTAACTGAGAAAAGGGCTCTGTGACCATTCCATGGTAAAGCAATGAAGATATGCAGCAATTATGAGTTAAGGCTTAAAAAGTCATTCCTTTTCCTTTTCCCCTCTCTACAACAAATATAAGCTGAGTGACATGAGTTTAAGGTCCTAGGCACAATGTTTCTAAACTTCAATATACATATATATCACCTAGAAAATCTACGATATTGTAGATTTCTGCGGGGCAGATCTGTGTGAAGCCTGCAATTACATATTCCTCATAAGCCCCAGGCAAGGTGAATACTGCTAATCAACACAAAGTTATTTAAGAAGATCCTAGAGCATACAAAACCATAAGGAAGGAGAACCCTGGGTTCTTAAATCAACACATGGAGGAAATCTATTTGGAACAGGAACATTTATACAAATTATTAAATAAGATCATCTGTATTTGCATGATGTCAGTACAATTTTAGAGTTTATTTCTGAAAACAGTTTTACCCCAATAATAAAAAACATTGGTATTTGAACAAAGCCTCACAACTTTTACTCTTTTTAAAGCTTTACCTTCATCTGATTTTACATCTGCCTGGTTAGAGTCTTCTACACTGGCTTCAGAAGATGACTGTTCAAAACTTTTTCTAAGTTGCTGTATAAAGACTTCCATGGACAAAGTAAAATGTAGCTCTTTATTGTTTAACCAATGTACCACAAAAGGCCCATTCTTTTCTTCATTTTCACTTAAACTCAGAGATGTAATAGATGGAAGAAGTGGAATATCTACAAAGAAAAGATCATAAAATTAAAATTCTCACCATTCTAGCATACTATTTTCATTATTACCTATTACATATTTACCTTTTGTCTGAGAAAGTATTTTTCTATTTTTTAATTTAACAATATTTTGAGTTTTTCAACATTAATTTTGAGTGTAATTTATTTTTTTAGTGTATTTAGTACAGGGTGTACAGGGTCTCACTACACAGAGTGGACTAGTAGTGATCCTCCTGTTTATAGCCTCCCAAGTGCTGGGATCACAGGCATGCATCACCACACCCAGTTTCAACTGCCTTCTCAGCCTGCCTTGGGGGCAGGGCTGGCATAGTATGTGGTGTCTGGAATCTATTCCCGGGCCCTGCGTTCTGCCTAAGTAGGCACTGTAGTCCGCTGAGCTATCTGGCCGACCCCAGAGTAGATTTAAATTGAGAGAAAAATTCGAAGATAAGGAACAATCAAATTTGTGGTTTCATTCGTGCACCACTTCCCTGGCCCACACAATGGCAACTGGCTTTCTCCTATGAAATATTTAATTAGGTGGGAGATAAACAGTAATCAGGTAATTATACTAAGGAATGGACACATAATAAACAGCAGCTCTTAGGCTGGATACACTGTAACTCGCCCCAAACAGAAGGAATAGAAGAAAGGTATTTTTAATCTCTTTTGCTATTTATCATCATCACACAGTATTTCTCTATTGTGTCAAACAACAGGTACACTGTATGAACCTAGGTACATACACTGTATGTAGGTACACAGATAATTCATGGCATTTACCTTTTCTTTTAAAAAATGATTTTAAAAACAAGAATTATCACTGTACTTCTCATATCACTACTATCCAGAGTCCAAGAGTTAGCTTACCATGTACCTATTATGGATTTGGATACATTTTTATTGTAGTTATTATTAAACATATAAAATATGTATTTTACCTAAAACTAGGATTTTCAATAAGATACTGTTTGCGATGATTATTACTGTTGTTGGTCTTGTTATTGTTTATCTTTTTGAGACAGTGTTTCACTATGCAGTTCAGGCTGGCCTTGAACTCACAGGGATGCTCCTGCCTCAGTCTCTCTAGTGCTGGGATTACAGACACGCACCACCATGCCCATCTTGACTCTTCTTAATAGTAAGAAATATAAATATTGAGTTTAATCTACTTATAGAGGAGGTAAAATTATATATTCTTGGTTAAACAGTATAATTGAACTATATGGTGCTACCTCAGTTCATAAACTTAATTTTTAGGATTCTGGTCACAAAATTTGTTCCACATTGCAACCAAAATCATGAAATTAATTTCGCACCCAGAATCATGGTTCTTTCCATGAACTAAGTCATCACTGTACATGTTTCCTTTAGTCCTGAAAAAATTCTCATGAAGAAACATTTCTATAATCTTAGATATGCTAAAATGAAGATCTTACCTCTACCAAAATTAACAAATTTTGGCAAAAATAAAAACATACATTAGAAAACACCATCATCATTACAGTCAAAGTGAAATTCTGTATCACTTTTAATGGTTTACTGTTTTTCTTCTCTTTAAAAAATAAAAAATTAAAAAATTTTAAAAATAAATGGTAAATATCAAATTACGTATTCATACAATGTATCTATTGTTAAATTCCAGTTGAAAGAATATTAGTTTTAAACATGACTATACAGTAACAATTTTTTAACTTAAAAGGCTGATATATTCACTTATTTTATGATCTACCCACCTAAAATGTCCTACTGCGTATTATCATCAAGATTGATGTTAGCAAGTATGAAATTTAAGTTCCCTTTTTATGCAAATGGAAAGAAGGCCACAGCTATAAAGAAACTGTTCCTTCGTATATTTGATAAAATTGCTAAATAAAGAATGTTAACGTACAACTCTAATCAGTTATTAAAAGTGCTAATCCCTAATTGGTAGAAGTTAAAAAAAAATTCAACTCTTTCATATTATTATTTTGTATTTTTAGGGAAAGGTATACTACTAGATGTTCAGGGTCTCACTACTAGATCAGACTCGTAGTGATCTGCCTGTTTACAGCCTCCCAAGAGCTGGAATAACAGGCGCGTGCCACCACACCCAGTTTCAATTGCCATCTCAGTGTGCCCTGGGGGTGGGGCTGGCATGCCAGCCCTTGCACCTGCTTTCAGGTTCAACACCCCAGCCCCTGCACCTGCTTTCAGGCACTTTAATACGCTGAACTATTTGGCTGGCCCTCTCAACTCTTTCATATTAAATCGAATCTCAACCATGTTTATATTTAGTGAGGTGTAAAAACTACAATGAATTCAAGGCATATAAACAATTTATTCCGAAATAAATCTACTTTCTAAAAGAAAAGATAATGTGTAATATAACAACCATTGTTGATTTCCATTAATTTTGTTTTGTGAAATTCTGTATCACTTTTAATGGTTTGCTCTTTTTCTTCTCTTTAAAAAATAAAAAATTAAAAAATTTTAAAAATAAATGGTAAATATCAAATTATTTATTCATACAATGTATCTATTGTTAGATTCCAATTGAAAGAATATTATGAGATAAATAGTAAAGGAGAAAATTAAAAAATCATTCTTTTTTTTGTCTTCTTGAGAAAGGGTTTGGGTATGTAGTTCAGGCTACCCTTGAACTCAGTAATCTGGGTTGGCTTTGAGCTTGGGGTGATTTTCCTGCCTCAGCCTCTGAAGTGCTGGGATTATAAATGTGTGTCACCATGCCCAGCCAAGAATCTTTCTCTCTCTCTTTCTCTCTTTTTTTAATTTTAAAGAGAACAACAACAACAACAAAAATTTCAAAACAAGATAATAGGAAGGTAACAATGGTTAATACATTTAAATTAGGTACTCAGATTAGAAGATTTAGGCATTTAATTGCCCAGCCAATATTAACACAAACCTTTTTCTTCAATGAACTAATTTCAAGAGAAATTAGTAGCATAACTATCTTAATTATCATGTAATTATAATACCTCTATATTCCTTAGAACAATTATTTGATGAATGTGTATGTGCTGCATGATTGATTATATATTTCACAAGAGCAAGGTGATACCTGTTTTGATTGTTACTGTACCTCTAGTTCCTACAATAGCACAGATCCAGCATTTAATCAAAAACTTAAAAGGTTCAGACTATAATTCTTACTATTCCTATGTGTATACAAAGCACTGCCAGTGATTGAGAGGACACCTCAAGAAACCATGGGTAAGATTTTTCTAGTATCTGACTTAACAATCAACCCAAATGAAGTCAGTAATTCCTTCAGTAGACCATAAGTCTAGCTGCTCCGTATATAAGGAGGGAATAATTCTGGCTTCTGGTAGAAGCACTCTAACTTAAAAACAAACAAACAAACAAACATAAAACACCCTAAAAGCTCTTTTGCATAATATGTTACTATTCATAATGTTTACATTTCTTGTGGTAAGTTGGCACATGTATGGAATATATTTTGATTTCCTTTTATTCTCTTTTCCTTCCTTCCCTCCCTTCTTGACTCATCTCTCAATCCCCTTCTTTGTTTTTCTTTTCTTGTACACATTTGCAGTACATGATGTTTAGATTCCTGGTGTGGAGATGGTATGTGTACAAAGAAAAGGATATAAAAACTAGAACTAGAAGAACATATTCTTATGAGCTCCTCTCCAATGGCTACCCCTATTCACAGACAAGCAAATGAAACTAAATCTAAGAGCTGTACTTAAGAAATACATCATCTGGTTGAGATACAACATCCTGGTTGCTATCACAACCAGGTGTGGTAGCGCTGCCTGTTATACCAGCACTCAGGAGGCTGAGGTAGGAGGGCTGCTGTGAGTTCAAGTCCTGCTTGGGTACACAGTGAATTCAAGGCCAGCATGAACTGCATAGTGAGACACTATTGCAAAAACACACACGAGAGAGAGAGAGAGAGAGAGAGAGAGAGAGAGAGAGAGAGAGATTGATCGATCTAAAAGTATCATTCCAACAGATCAAAGGTAGGAGGAGGAACTCCTCATAAAGACCATACCAGATGCCAATATTGTTTTGATTTGTTATGTTTTCCTTAGTGACCTTCAAAAAAGAGTTTTACAGTTTTCCATACGAGAAACTATGCAAGCAGAATCCACACTGAAACTTTGGGCTCCTTTCTCAGAAAACCCTCACTTTTTTCATTAATGTGAGAATTCAAGCTTTGTTTATTCTCATAAATTGTCCTCTGTGTGTGTGTGTGTGCGTGCGCTGGTAGGGACTGAACCCAGTGCCTCATATTTGCAAGGCAATTGTTCTAACAATGAGCTACTTCCATTTTAATACTGACCTTACTCAGCAGGAACCTTCAGAATTATTCCACTGATCTTAACAGTAACTTGTATTGTAACCACTGTTGACAAACATGATGATCTTTCCCAAGCTATGTAATTTTTAATAATAATTCAGTACTAAAACATTTTGATTTATGAATTCTTATACAGCTAGAATTGTCGCCAGCCAAATAAAAGTCGTAGCTGTAGCTGTAGAGGAACCATAAGTACCATAAGTACCTCTACACTTAAAACTTTGCAGGCCACTTCTCACTTTGATGAACAAAATTCTCTTCAAGTAACTACTGGATTATACTTACTACTACTTACTACTTTGAAGAATGCAATACTATAATTTCCAGTAATATGGAAATAGAATATGCTTAACTGAAGTTTAGAAATATTCCACAGGAAACAAAAACTCATCAATAATGGTTACCTTCTAGTGAGAAGGATTAAGTGGGATAGAGGTAAAGCAGGGAATGTGTAAGTAATAAACAGAAACTCTTGGATTGGACATATTAGAACTTGCTTCTAACAGAAAAAGAAGACACTTTTTTCTTTTACCATTTAACTCCTATGATAGTCCTTCTACTGGTGTCTATCAAAAGACAACCACCACATGAGCTTTTGACTTCTAGCCCATCTTTCTTTCACCTTTTTCAACTTTTTAAAAATTGATATAGGAATCTTGCTACACAGTTGACTTGTAGTGATCCTTCTGTCTCAGCCTCCCTAGCGTTGGGATAATAGGCGTGTGCTACCACGGCCAGTTTCTGGGCCTGCAAGGTGTGTCTGGGGTTTCAGGGCTGGCACAGCATGCAAATGCAGGACCTTGGACTTCCCAGGCAGATGCTTATGCCTCCAAGCTATCTCCCCAGCCCACCTTTCACTTCTTTAGAGATACCATTTATCATGTGTAAATATTTTAAAAATTTTCTCAAGAAATATTTTGAGGTCCTACTTTCATTGCTTCAGTTGTGATTGCCAGCTTTTACATTCTCAGAAAATATTTACCAAAGTGATAAGGACTTCGATGAAATTCAAAGACAGGAAAAAAAAAAGATATTTAGAATGTTCTATCTACTAATACATATCTGATTATAGATAAAAGTTTCTTAATTATTCCAGTTACAACTTTCATATATTTCTTATCTTTTTATAAAGTGATCTGAAAGATCGAGTCAAATCCTGATGCTATATTAATACTATGAAATGATCATAAAGTACGACTTCTGTAGCATTAACCTCTTGAGTAATAGCACAAATTTCAATTTTTAAATAAATTAGTAAATCTCAATGACTTATGAGTATCTTATGCATAAACCAAATTATAGTGCCAAAAAAGGAAAAAAAAAAACCCAAAAACAAAAACAGTAACAAAAACAAATGGAAACAAGTGAACTGGATACAATAAAACTGGCAGAGTCACCTCCAATATCTGTTATATTAAAAACTAAAAGTATAGCTTATTTGTTATAAAGTCAACCTACTCAATTTCCAAAATATGTTTTGAAGGATCCTTTATTACCTGTCGCTGGGTTAATGCTGGCTGCAATGTGAAAGTGGCAGAGTGCATTGGCATGCAGTGGAGTGTTCCTGTGAACGTGATGAGGGTCCTGCTGATGAGGCAGGTAGCCCGTATGTGCAACAAGTGCCAGTGATCTCCTCCGGCCTCTACGAAAATGTCTGAGGTTTACCTGTGTGAATGAAAACAAAGTAAAACTAATGCCTACGCTGTTAAAAGTCACATGTGTGTAGTCTATATAATGGTTACTATTAGTTGCATATACGTGAAAATGCTTTTCAATACTTTTGTAAATTGTATTTAAATTCTGAAGAATAAGGTTAGAATTTAAAGTATCTGGGCTCCTCTCTTAAACGTTACAAAATACTTTACAATTTTTATCTGGTTTACTTTCTTAAACTTAGTATGCTAAAATCAGTATCATAAAATATTTATATTTAATATTCTTAAAATTAATATCATTTCCTTAAAATAAATATCAGAATACTTTAATAATTAAATGTTCACATTTTTTCAATTGTTATGATTTATGTCTAGATGTCCCTCCAAAGCGTCATGTGCTCACAGGAGGATATTTTGGGAGTAACTATGTCATGGTTATGTGATAGAAGATTAGTCCACTGATTGGTTTAGCGAAGACCTACAGTGGGTGTGGCTGGCATCAACCAACACATTTGTAGATTGCATGGAATGTAAAGGGAAAGGAGGAGGAAATCTTGCTGCCTCCTCCCTTGATGTCCTCTGCCATCCTGTTCTGCCTTGGAATCAGCTGACTATGGACTGAAATGTCTATAAACTGTGAGTTAAAATAAACCTTTCCAACTCTAACTTGTAGGTGTTGGGTACTTTGTCCCAACAATGAGAAAGTAACTATGACACTAATAATGTGTATATGAACAATGATGTCTTTATATATTGTTCTCTTTGTTTATGGCTGAATCTCTGTTATCACAAAGCATTTAATAATACTGGCAGCATATATTAGGATATTTTATGATTTACAGACCATTTTCACAGAGATCAACTCATTTGATCACATGAGGCAGACAACAAAAATATTCTCATCTTTCATATGATAAAACAGTTCATATGGAACTCTAGGTTAAGAAGGCAGAGCTAAAAGTAGAACAATTCTTTAGATTCCTACTCTAGGATTTATTTCAGATATCAGTATACACACCTATTCTGTACTGAATATACAATGCACTATGTATTTAATTATATTGAGTCATTGGGATAGTACACAAATGTGAAAAATAGTTTCTCCATCATCATACAAAGGATTCAAAGAGAAATCATTTTTAAATCACTGTTTCGAATATTAAGAAAATAATGAATAACATTACTATGTTATCTCCAATTAGTCCAAGTGTCAAAAATTTAACACTAACTAATAAAGACTCAAGTTCTGGAGGGTCTAAAAATAACTACTGATAGAACAAAACATAAAAAACAGTATGAAAAACCTCTAAATTTTAATGGGTCTACAGGTAACTACTGACAGAAGAGAATATAAAAAAAATAGTCTATCTGTATGAAAAACTAGCTCTGAGAAAATTATAAAATCCAACCTTTGCATTCTCAGATTTTAATTTGCTTTGCTATTTCAGAAAAGTATAATTATCTTTCTGGTATTATCAGTCAAGCTAAAAAAATAACTTCATAATTATAGGTAGTCACATACTTCAGAAAAAATCCTTAAGTACATTTTTTGAACAAGATAAAACTTAAAAACTTGAAAACTATTTTCCTAAGACAGATTTCTTATATTACTGTTACAAAAGATATATACAAAAGGTTTATAATCTTAAAAGAAATAACATTTAATAAAATCACTCACCTCTAGAGCATTTTGAACACGTTCTTTACTAGAAGCATTTCTCTTGAAATTATCTGTTAAATTAATTTGTTCAGGCCAATGGTTGCAGTCACCTCCATACAGCAAAAAGTCATTTGGCAAAAATGTCTCTACCCAAAGACGGCACACATTATCTTTGCAGCAAGTCAATAGTACATTACATACAGAAGCCCTAAGAAATAGTTTGGAAGAATATAAATTTTATACAGTATCACAGACATTCTAGAATGATTATAAATATTTAAATGTACACAACAAAGGTAATAATGAAAAAAATGTCATTATATAGAAATAGCATTGTAGTAAATGTCTGCCAGCTTATTTTTCTGCCCCATAATAGTAGCTCTTGTTTCAATAATCTAAGATTTTTCTCATATCTAAAGAAAAACAGACTAAGATTAGGCCATAATTCCTTAGTTGAGTAGCAAGAAAAAACTACATCTAATAAAATTTTCTCACTGAGTAGATGGCTATTGTTTGACTTATTTCAGAGTGCTTCATTTTTACATGCAATAAAGGTATCTACACCTTACTAAATAAAAAACCACAATTATCATTTAGGATACTTATTTGCTCCTTACCTACCTATGCCCAATGCACTACAGTGCAAGAAAATTCATGTTAAAACTAGCACAAATTGAGAGCGCCTTTCCTTAGCCACCCTTGACATACAGCTCATGTATTTCTTGTATACTTCTCAAAATGAAAGTTAAAAATCAATTACATATATTAATAAATCAATAAACATCTATAGTTCTAAGGCTGGAATCCTTAATAACAAAAATTACCTTGTATCTCATAACTTAGTTTAGAGAAGTCACAGTATCCTATAGTAGGCACTTGTTCTAAAAATCTGATTAAAAATGAATAATTAGCAAAAGGTTTTATGAGGTAACCCAACAAGTAAAAGCAAAAAGAAATCAATGGAGATGTAGCTTCGTGGGAGACCACTTGCCTAGCATATGTAAGGTTCTCAGTTTGATCCTTAGCACTGGAAAACAAAACAAAACAAAACAAAACCCATAGCAAAATCAAACACTGTATTAGTTATTAAACATTATCTATCCAATAATAATAATAAAACAGCTGTGACTACAAAAACATGGCTATAATTCTAGGATACTGGAAGGCTGAGGCTGGAGGGATGTAAATTTAAGTTCAGCCTTGTCAACTTAGCAAGATTTGCCTCAAAACAAAAAAGGGCTAGGGATATAACTCAGTGCTAAGGTCCTGAGTCTAATGCTTAGAAACAACAACAAAAGGTAGCACACAACAAGAGGGAATAGCATGTTTTGTCTGGCTGCTCTTCCCTCATCCATTCTCTCATCTGCCTACTTCTGCCCTCTCCCCATCTTTCTATCTGTTTCCACAGCCTTTCTCTTATTTCTACCCCTTCTCTGGTCTTCTTTCCTCTTTCCTCTCTCAACATTCTATCGTGTCAGCCTCTCCAGCTCACCTTTCGTTTCTACTTCCTTCCTCTTGTCCCTCATCTCTTCCTTCATAGCACCCCTCTCTTTTCTTTCCTTCCCTTTCTCTATTCCTCCCCATTCTGAAATCTCTCCCTATTTTCTCTCATCTTATATGAGGCTCCCTTCCTTATATAGATATAGATATAGATATAGATATAGATATAGATATATAGATATGTAGATATATATATAGATATATATGCATACACATAGACTACTGCCATGAAATTAAAATCAAACAAATAGAAACAGAAGAAAATTTATTAAATGGCAGTACAAAAAGTTCAAGGTTCACATTGCCAAAGAGTAACTGGAAGAATGGAAAACTTTATAAGAGAACATTAAAAAGGAGTGGCTAAAAGGCCAAATATCAAATAAAGAAGCATAAGAACTTCTGAAAAGCAACAAAGCAGGTAAGCAAAGTCACAACTAAGGAGCACAGAGAGGGTTATGGCTTTGAAGGGTAAGAGGACACAAGTGGGTCTCCTTAACATATCTTATATTTAATGCAAACAACTGGTAAGTAATATACAAAAGACTTAGATGTACTACTCTGATCAGTATATCTGAGGCATTATCTTTCTCATCAAGCTACCCTATCTTCCCTTCAACAGCATATCATATTGATATATAGCTCTCCCCTCCAAAAGAAACACAAAAAGATGTAACATATAGAAAGCAACTACTGTCTATGAAGGATAAGGTCTCAATACTTGCCCCATCTTGATTAACAACAGGTTCAGAAAAGCTTAGTAAGTAGCTGGTTTTTAAATAATATAAATCCAAAACTAAACTTCTAGGGAGTTCAAGATTTTGTATGTGGGCCAGGGGGATAGCTTTTATTGGTTGCATGTTCAGTATATTTCAATATTAGTAGAACTTAGCATGAGTGAAGCACTGGATTCAATCCCCAGCACCACAAAAGGAAAAGAAAAATGCTAGTTCTACACATCACAGAATATATGCTGCAGAATTTACAAACATGAGCATAGCAAGGAGGAGGAAGATTAGGAGGAGGTGAAGGATGAGAAAGAGGGAGAAGAGGAAGAGGGGATCAGCAAAGAGCAGGGAAGGAGAAAAAAAATAGAATGCATTTTTGTTATTAGTAGGTGTGGAGGACCACCTGAGCAGCTCTCCTTGAAAGAAAGGCAATCGTCTCCATTTTGGCTGAGCCTGACCCTATTTCCTTGTATTCATATGTAGAAGGCTGGCTAGAATTTTTCCTTATCAATCTTCAATTGAATTTAAGCAATGCATATTGGTCTAGCTGAGGTGCTGAGGTGCCAGTGGTAGTCTCTGAAGATGACATGCCTGTTTCCCTGATAACCCCCACCTGCTGCTCTTTAGTATGAGTCGGTGGAGACAGGACGGAAGAGCCAATCCATGCTGTCAGCTGGGATTGAGCCTTGAGACAAAGGCCATGACTTCCTGGGGCTTGAAAGATTACACATCAGAGCTAAAACACTGGACCCTAAACCATTAGATACTATCTCAATAATACAATACAAATTACTCTTTCTGCATATCCTTCTGTCTGCACATGGTAGAGGTAAGTGCAGACCTTCTACCTGGCTAAGCTCATGGCACGTATGTACTTCCCACCACTCTCAGCCCCTTATCCTCAAGCCACTCCCCTTTTCACAAATGAATAAAAGCTGGGTTCCTTTCTGAGTAAGGGACTTTCTTCTGCATAGCCATCTTTATGCTGGACTTAGGACCCCTTAGCTCCCCAACAAATATGAATATGCTTTATTGTCCTTATTCTCCCTGTGGGTTGCACTGCAAGTAGTAGATTGGAATTAACTTGATGGGATTCTGGTAACTTATTCTTGGGATTACAAATATAAACTTCCTGGACCAAGACATGGACCAGGAAGGGCTCTCTACAAGTAGGGAACCCTAAATGTCTAGTTCAAGGCATCTGCTTCTGCTTTCACTATAAGTTCTGCCATCATCGAGGGATCTATGTCATTGTCCCTCTCAACAGATATAATACTTCATAGCCTTTTTTTTTGCCAATTTAAGTACTTTTATTGAAGACATTGCATTTTCACTTATAGTACAGTACTTAAAGTACAATGCTATGTTTCCCTGTGTACATTTTCCATTATTCAAGTATTGAGAATGCCCAGTACTTTACTATAACAGCTCAACTTTAATAACTGCCACAGAATTCACTACAAATTTAAGTCCTTCAATTTTATTAGTTGTGAAAGAATGCTATATTTCTATTTAGGGTTAGCTTAATCAACCTCTTCAATAGTGGGCCCAAGGAAGCACCACCAGAGAGAGGAGCTCCTCCACTAGGGAAGCCCCAGGCATCCCTCTGGCCTGCCACCTGCCCTCTGAGACAGCTTGGTGATGATGGGACTGCAGACTTTCTTCAGCTCCTTCTGCTTAAGTTCAAATTCTTCTTTCTCCGCAGTTTGACTCTTATCCAGCCAGTTGATGATTTCATTACATTTGTCAAGAATCTTCTGTTTATTGTCCTCATTAATCTTGCCTTTAAGTTTCTCATCTTCAACAGTTGCTTTCATATTGAAAGCGTAGGAATCCAATGAATTCTTGGAGGACACTTTGTCCCTTTGCTTCTCATCTTCAGCTTTGTACTTTTCTGCTTCCTGGAACATATGCTCTATGTCCTCCTTGCTCAAACGGCCCTTATCATTAGTGATGGTAATCTTCTCTTTTCCTGTACTTTTATTGACTGCAGAAACATTGAGGATGCCAATGGCATCAATATCAAAAGTTACTTCAATCTGAGGAACACCACAGGGTTCAGGAAGTATGCCTGTGAGTTCAAACTTGTCAAGCAGGTTGTTATCCTTGGTCGTGGGTCACTCACCTTTGTATACCTGAATGAGCATGCCAGGCTGGTTGTCTGAGTAGGTAGTGAAGGTCTGAGTCTGCTTGGTGGAAATGGTGGTATTATGCTTGATGAGGACTGTCATGACACCACCAGCAGTTTCAATACCAAGAGAAAGAGGAGTGACAGCCAACAGTAGCAAATCTTAGACATTTTCAGACTTGTCTTCAGATAAAATGCCTGAACAGTTGCACCATAAGCAACAGCCTCATCAGAACTGATGCTCTTATTTAATTCTTTTCCATTGAAGAAGTCTTGCAGAAGCTTCTGGATCTTGGGGATACGGGTAGAATCACCCACCAGGACAATGAGATGTGTCTAGTTTAGCATCTCAAAGAGCCTTTTCCACAGGGTCCAGAGTGCCAAGAACAGATCAGCATTCAACTCTTCAAACTGAGCATGAGTAATGGAGATGAAGAAGTAGATTCCTTCATAGACGGAATCAATCTCAGTACTGGCATGGGTGCTAGAAAAGAGGGTTCTCTTAGCTCGCTTACATGCAGTACAAAGATGAAGGACAGCTCTTTCATTTTCACTGATGTCCTTCTTGTGCTTGTGCTAGAATTCAACAATAAAATGATTGACCATTCAATTGTCAAAATCTTTTCCACCTAAGTGGGTAACTCCAGCTGTAGATTTCACTTCAAAGACTTAATCTTCAATAGTGAGGATTGACACCTCAAAAGTGCCACCTCCTAAATAAAAAAATCAGCACATTTCTTTTTTTTTTAATTTTTTTTAATTTTTTTTTTATTTATTAGAGAGAGAGAGAGAGAGAGAGAGAGAGAGAGAGAGAGAGAGATTGAGGCCAGCTCAGCCCACCAGGGGGCGGGCTGGCTGGAATGTGGTGCTGGGGGATTGAACCGTGGTCCCTGTGCTTCGCTGAACTTGTTCTAAGTAGGTGCTTTAGACCACTGAGCCATCTCTCCAGCCCCAATCAGCACATTTCTTTCAGCTCCAATCTTTTTGTCTAAGCCATAATCAATAGCAGCAGCTGTTGGTTCGCTGATAATTCTAAGTACATTAAGATCAGCAACAGTTCCAGCCTCTTTTGTTGCCTGATGCTGAGTCATTAAAGTAAATTGGTACAATGACCACAGCATTGATAACAGTCTACCCTAAATAAACTTCTGCAATTTCCTTCATCTTTGTCAGCAACATAGGAGACACCTCCTCTGGGTAGAAGTTCTTTGTCTCTCCTTTGTATTCAACTTGAACCTTGGGCATGCCTATATCATTCACCAACATGAAGGCCAGTGCTTCATATTAGACTGGACCACAGCATCATCAAATCTATATCCATTTAGATGCTTAGCATCAAAAAACTGTGTTGGTGGGGTTCATAGCCATTTGATTTTTGGCAGCATCTCCAATCAGTTGTTCGGTGTCAGTGAAAGCGACATAGCTTGCGGTGATTTGATTTTCATTGCATTGAATAACCACTGGCAATTATCTACACTTTTCTGTGCTGGAAGAAACCTACACAGGAGTAGGTGGTGCCAGGATCAATGCCAACTGCAGGCCCCTTCAACATGGTTGCTTGCATATAGGCCTGGCTGTGCTAGCAAAGATGGCACACAAGAAGCCCCTCACCTACTGGCATGTTCAATCCATAGCCTCTTTTTCAGTATTTTAGTAGTCAGAGCATCAGAAGATGAAAACATCTGCCTGTATCAGAAGAAATTAGCCTCTGAAATGATGTAATCTTCACATAGGTTTAAAAAGGCTTACTATGTATAATGGCATGTGGAGCCATTCATATATTTTAAAGCCACAGTAAACAAATACCATGAGCTCATTATATTTTAAATACAATTTTATGTATGTAGACAGTGTTTCAGAGAGAGGTAACTAGAGCAACTGCAGTTAAGTAAGACTGGTTAAGGCTGTTAACTGTTATAGATTGTCTAGGCTGTGCTCCTTAGCTCAACTACTGACATATTTTCCTAAGAGCAGAACCATTACTTTTCTTACAGCATTACTCCTCTAGCTATACCTTTTTTTAGACAGAGGGCTGGCATAGGAATTGTAGCTACTACACGATAGCTCATGTCTAGGTATAATCTATTGATCAAGAAGAGCAAAAGTATAGTCAACAAATTATGTATACAGACCACAATAGGATGTCTTGGGTAATAATATTCATGGAATAGTGAAACAATAAAAGAAAAACTTTGACAGAGGAGCCAAACTGACAATTGTCATGTGGCATAAAAAGTGATTTCTAACTACTTAATAGGTCTCCACAGTTAACATGAGCATAGGCAAAACTTCAATGGGATATTGTCTTTCAAGACTATAAGAAAGCAAGCAAATATTGTGAGTCTGTATGTATGTGTGTGTTTATGGATTAAACTAGTATTTAATTCACAGCAGAATAATCTAAGTGGTAACATACTTTATTTTCCTCAAAGGTAATATAAATGCTTGAAAACTCATACTTAATAAAGCTCTTTTAAAAAGGAAAGCAGTGAGGTCTGGGAAGACAGTTCCGTGGCTTAAGCATCTGCCCGGCAAGTGCAAGGTCCTGAGTTCAATCCCAGGTAACACACACACACACACACACACACACACACACACACACACAAATGTAAACCAGTGAGACAACTAGAAGAAACAAAATCAGGAAGTAAAATGTGAAGAATTCCACACAGACAACAGTTTGTAGAATAAGAAACAAAACAATAGACACAAATCAAGAAAGTAGAAAAAACACAAACAACTTTGTAACTTAAAGACATCTGATATGGAGGCAAATTATCTCAGCTCAAACTTTCTTCATGCCTCTCATACTGAGCAGCAATCACACTTGATTTAGAGATGTGCAGGCCAGGGACTCACTAACAGTACTATAATCTTTATAGGATCAGAAGTCCTACAGCATAGCTATGGTCTCAAAAGTTAGAAAAGCAGTCAAAAATCACATAAATGATGTCCACGTAACACATGGGAAAAAATAACCAATCCACTGACCTAGGCATATATTTGCTTGTTTTACGCCAGGAAAATCCATTTACAGCTCGAGGATGGGCCAAATATACAAATGAAAAGTCAATTTCTCCTTGGGATTGTTTGTCTGAATTTGTATCGGGAGTGGTAACAGCTGTCCGCCAGTTTTCTACATTATACCACACCTTTAAAAGACAGTCATCCTAAAGAAAAAAGGTAGAAAAATTAAACTGAAAACGAAATTAAACTGAAAGTTAATTTAAACAGTCAAACTAAGATTTTTTCTCTCTCAAAAGTGCCATGAATTTAGAGATAGCAGGATTGGTTAGCCAGAGAAAATAAGAAAAGCTCTGATTGTTACAATTTTCAGTCAGTATTCCTTAACTGTACTTTTGAGAATTGAAGTATATAAATGTTTCTACTGTATTTCAGAACAGTGTTACTAAATACCATATACTTTAGGAAACACTGAAAGATGAAATTTAAGAACTCTCTTCCCTAAAACCAAATATCAAATAAGAAAGCAGAACCACCAGCAAAAATACAGAGGCTAACACTTATTGAGCAAAAAGACACATGTATTTCATGGATTATCGAAAAACTTTTCAAAGAAAATGTTAACAATGACGACTAGTAAGTAACTTAATATTACATAAAGCATTCTAATCAAATTTGTGCCTAATTTGGGAAATAAGGGAAGGACAAGGGAGACTAAAATGTGGTAAGTGTTGCTTTTAATATAAAATTAATTTCTACTATAAAATTAATCAGAATAAAATTTGACTTCTCTCCTAAAAAAAATTGCACATTCAGTTTGCAGAATTCTTTGAGCCATGAAAACTCTCAAAACACTATTATTCGATGAACTGTGTGGTATACTAATGATTAAAAATAAATCAAGAAAATACAGTTCTGAAATCAACAGGTGATAACTAGGTACAGATACATGCACTAAAAGAATGGTTACCACGGTCCCTTTATAAAGCCTATAACCTTACATTTTAAATAAAGTCTAATACACATATCAACTAAAAAATAATACAAATAGAAGCTATAATTTATTATCCACTGCATACAAGGAACTATGCTACTCACTTTATACAGATTCTCTAAATTAATCCTATGATTAGTAATTTGTGAAGTAGGTGTTGTTATCCTCATTTTACCCAAGAAAAAGGCTTAAAAAGATAAAGTTGGCTAAGATGGAAACGCTGGTAAACTATAGATTTATGTAAATCTAAGCTGTTTCAATCAGACCATACTGTCGCTTAATATGATTATATCCTATCTTTTGCTATTTAATATTTTAATTGCAAATAAGATATCCAAGATAAATAAAATGTCACCTAATATCCATAAAGTTTCAAAATGAAGTGTGATTACACAATTTCACAATACCATGTCCACAATTTACCTTCCCAGCAGTGGCAAAAAATTCTCCATCTGGTGAAAATTTCATCAAATGGACTTGGGAAGCAGTTCTGTAAATTAAAGAGGTAAGATATAGTTTGCAAAAAAACTAAACAAAATATGAAATATTCTCAAAATCATACTCTAGCAACTACTTCAGATATAAAGATTTTTAACAACATACATACACATGATTGACTGATTACAGTAGTGGGGACTGCACCAGGCTGTCATACTGAGCTTCTTCCTCAGTCTGTGTTTCTTTTCCTTTCTTTTTTTTCCTCTTTTCTCTCTTTTTTTTCTTCTATCTCTGTTTTCCCTTCCCTTCTCTTCCCTCTATCCTGCCTTCCCTTTCTGTTCCTTTCCCTTTCCTCCCCTCCCCTTCCATTCTGACATCCTGTTATACTAGTTTACTAGATTATCACTGGTCTCTCACTATCTATTCAATGCAATATTACAAGCATTTTTTTTTTTTTAATTTGATGCAAGGTCTCACTACTCAGCTCAGATCCAGTGATCTTCCTGTTTTCTGCCTTCCCAGTGCAAGAATTACAGGCTTAGGCCACCACGCCCGGTCTCAGTAGCCTGCTCTGTGCACCTGGGGCAGGGCCAACATAGCAATGTGGTGCCAGGCATCAAGCCCTGATCCCTGCACTGTCCTAAGTAGGTGCTTAGTCCACTGAGCTATCTCATTGGCCTATTACAAAAATTTTTATAGCAATTTGGAACACAATAAGCACTTAATAAATATCTGCTAAATTAACATAATCAGGAATTACTATCTGAAGGGCATGAAAAAATTAAGCTTACTGATTCATACTTCCAAACTGTGTCATAGAAATGAAATACCAATTCCATTCACTTATTGATAATCATAAAATACCTGTTTTTCCAAATAGTCATTATTCCTTTTGGACATTTTCATTTCCATTTCAAGTTAGGTCAGTTAATACTTAATCAGATATACATACTACACCGTTTTAAATTTTTGCCCAAATACTGCAAAAAATAATAATTTGTAAAATGTTCTCTTCCCTGTACTTTTCTAATCAGTTTTTAACCATAACTTTTTAAAATGCATTAACCTCTAAATTGCATATTTCCTTCACGTTTTTCTCCCTTGCTGTTTTTTGTCTTACAGAAATACTGTAGTGATACAATCAAAGCACTTTTTTTTTTTTTTTTTTTTAAGACAGTACTTCACCACATTACGCAAATTGTTCTGGAACTCCTGAGCAAAATACCTACCAACTCAGCCTTCCAAATGGCTGAGACTACAGATTGGTGCAACTACAGCTGGTTGGTAAAATTATTAATTTTTCCCTTCCTTTCACTTTCTAGTTTTAGTGTTATATCTAGAAAGTCTTTCTTTTCCCTTTTTTAAAAAAATTTTAGGGAAGGGTCTACAGAGTATTCAGGTTCTCAGTACTACATCGAATTCGTAGTGATCTGCCTATTTAGAGCCTCCCAAGAGCTAGGATTACAGGCACACACCACCATACCTAGTCTCAATGGCCATCTCAGTGCACCCTAGGGGCAGAGCTAGCATAGCAGGCCTGGGGATTGAACTCCTGGCCCTTGCACCTGGTTGCAGGCACTTTAATCCGCTAGAAAGTCTTTCTCTAGCTCTCAAGCACAATATTTTGCCCAACAATAGAACATAATTACAAATATAAGCCAAATATATCATTTAAACTTCCTACTAGTAAGCTACATGTGATGGCACATGCATGTAATTTCAACTGCTTGTAATGCTGAGACAGGAAGATCCCAACTTTGGGATCAGTTTGGGCAACTTAGAAAGACTGCTACAAAACAAAATTTTTAGAAGGCAGGGGATTTACCTCTTTGGTACAGAACTTGGCTAGCTTGTGAATGCCCCTGGTTTGACCCTCACTAAAGGAGGGAAAAAGAAAACCTATCAGCCATATTAAAAAAGAAAACAAGAACAGGTGAAATTAATTATATGTTACTTAACCTAATATGCAAATAATACTATCAGTTCAACATGTAATGAATAAAAAATCTGTTATGGATAGTTTATATTATTAAAGGCTAAGTTTTTGAAATCTAGTGTTTACTTATTACACACTGTATATGTAATAAGATATTTTGAATTCTTTTTTTGTGTGTGTGCTGAGTTTTTGAAATCCAGAATTTTCTAGCACATCCAACTGGGACTAACCACATTTCAAGGGCTAAGTAGCAAAGTAAGAGCCTATAATACTGGCTACTGAAGCTGTAAAACAGAGAAGTTTACCTATATTTTCTCCAATATTTCTGCTTCACTGTACAGAAATTCAGTATATTCCTCCATCTGACACTTTGACACCAAGTACAAAAGAGACTTTAACTCACTTTCCCTTCCCTAAAGTTAGTTAATTATGCTGCTTTCTACACTGAGCACCTAAGTACTACTGGGTTTAAACCTAGATCCTCATGTCTGTTTCTATATTAGCAATAAACTGTTTGATCAATTACAGCTTCATTGTATACTTTCATTTTATTTTCTTTCATAGTTTCCCTGGTTTTCCCACTTTATTCTTTCAAATAAAATTAAGAATTATCCCAATTAAGAATTCCAGTAAAACTCTCACAAAAATTATGAGAATATACAAATTAATATGGGAAAAACAAACTTCATAATACAAGTCATTTAAATGCAAAAAAGTATCTTTCTTGTATAATTAAGTAATATCATTTAATGATCTTCACATCTTTTTTAAAGAAATAATAACGAGAAAGAAAAAAAAACTTTAATCATTAAATGCTCCTTTCAAAAGATCAGCAGAGATCATCAGTACAATTATCCAAAATATCCTGCATATATGCATAAATATATCTTTTTTTAAAGTAACTTTGTTGAGAAACACATAGCAATGAGACAGTTTCAAAACCAATTAGTAGGACAGTTTCAATAATTAATACATTGCATACTGTTGTCTTCTTAGTTTTTATTCATAGTACAAGATGCAGATATGATATCCTGTCCACAAACACTATTAGAACAACTCTTTCTATTCATTGAATTAAGAGAAAGTAGCTGTATATCTATCCTATTTTCAATATACAGATACAAAATGTCCTTCATTTGTATTCCAAAAATAGGGAATGCTTCATGAATTTGCGTGTCACCCCTGTGCAGGGGCCATGCTAATCTTCTCTGTGTCGTTTCAATTTTAGTATATGTGCTGCTGAAATGAGCAATGATCTTCTCATCTTATATATTCCTTATATAAGACATTTGGAATATGAAAAATAGTGAATTCTTGGTGTAAGAAAGGTGTCATACACAAAAAGAAATCAGTATTGGTGTGACTTGACAAGTTAAAATGCATTTATAATCCAATTAAACCACAAAGAACAAGTATATCAGTTTAATCTCCTAATTAATTGCTTACTTGCAATGCCAAATGCATTTCCAATCTCCAAAGTTAAGATCTGTTTTATCTAAATGTTCATCTTCTTTTGGCTTCTTTAAATTAGTATTAGACCAGAGTTGCAAACAACTTGAACCAGTTAAAAGACGACTACCTGAGAGAAGGAAAAAAAAATTCACTATTTGTTATTTAGGTATTTAACATTGAGTTAAACTACAGGTTTAAGAATTTCACATAATACTATAAAAGCAATACAACTTATAAAAAGATGGACAAAAAGATTATTTGGTGAAGAGGAAGAATTACATGGGTTAATTTTGTTGAAACAGTCTGGAAAAAGAGAGGAATAGATCTTTCGATCTCTCAATTCAACAAACATTTAATGAGTATCTTCTTTTTACCACACACTGCACTAAGTAAGCACTGGATATATACTGACAAATAAAGTACTGCCTTTTTTCATGAGTTCACATTCCAGTAGAGAGAAAAACATGGGAACATTACAATTCACTATAAAAGTGTCACAAACATGATAGAAAGGTGTGCGAAGTATTAGGGAGGCAAAACTATGTGTGTCTGTAGTAGAAGTATCAGGGAAAATCAGGACCTGCAACCTGGTACTTAGGGGATTAAGAGTAGGAAAGGAGAGGAGAAAGGAGACAGGCATTTCAGATATAGCACCTAACACAAAAGCATGAAGGTACACAACCTCAATTCCTCAAAGCTGCCTTTTAATCTTGGGCAGTTAAGGACTAAGGTAGTATAAAAGGAAATGAGGTTGCAAAAATTGGCAGGATGAGATTAAGAAGCATTTTTTCAGATTCATAAGGAGTCTGAGCTTTATTATAGGGAGTTAGAAGTGAAAAGTTTTGAAGAAAGAAGAGGAAGTTTATAACTGTATCTGTGTTTCACAACAAGGGCTATAAACAGTGCCATCAACAGACGGACTTGAAAAAGCCTATGACCCTCTCTCCACTGAGACAGTATTCTAAAATAATATTATAAAAGTACACTTCTCGGGGCTGGAGAGATGGCTCAGTGGTCTAAAGCACCTACTTGGAACAAGCTTAGCAAAAGCATCGGGGACCGCGGTTCGATCCCCCAGCACCACATGCCA